AGATAAGAGCGAGCGGCGAGAGGTCGGATCTGCGCAATCGAGCAGGGACCTGTCGTGCAGCCAATCAGCAGTTGCCAGGTCGATTAAGCGAGACCTGGCAACTCCTGATTGGCCCGCACACCGGCGGCCGCGAACAGCGCTAATTCCCCCCCACTTCAATCCTGTAGCAACCAGCACGACGCCAAAGCAGAAACACCATCGCCACGATCATCAATATATCATCATACCACCTAAGATCTCGTTAAGCACATACTCTGGCTCACAGTACGAGCATCTGACAAGAGCAAACAGAGGGGGGAGAGCCAGAGGTATTTATGCTCCCTCTCCTCTGTCTGTATTTCCAAGCAGAACGTTCTAGACTTCTCTAGGTAGGTCTACTTAGTAATCTATGCTTAGTATTGCTGCATATGCAAGCAAGATTACGTAAGTGCATGTGTAATTGTATACGTTAGCATCTACAAAGTAGGCTACTCTATTTATAAGCAGAAGATCTAGAACATTCTCTAGTTACTAAAAATAGAGAACAGCATAACGTACTCCACAAGCGAGTGGCTAACTACTCTCTTCTTTGTATACTTATTAAAGTACTTTAACTACTGCAGGCTAAGCTTATTTATTGTCTAGCTATTCTTAGATACTGCGATAACCTAATTGTAAGGTAGATCCCCCTCCTTATACTAGGCAGAGAGGTGATGGCGGCCCTTAAAGATAATAAAGGGTAGAATAGCCCACCCTATTGCGTTGATGCCCTAGATGACTATTGTCTACTCTCTATTGCCTTACTGCACTGCCTTTAGCTGTCCTTGTCTCTCTAAAGCTGTAACAACTAAACTAGTAGATATCTAGCCTATTATAAAGCTAGCCTTATTAAAGTTAAATATATCTTTATCTAGGATACTATACTTAGCTTTAATGTTAGCTGCTAGGCTAAACTAGCCTTATATAATCTTAGGATCCTCGCAGAGGGCTCTCTTGTAGTTGTATTTGCGATTAAACTTTGTTGTGAGCTCAGGGCGGCCTTTGACAAACGTACTGGGCCAGTTTGAGCCAACTTGGCCTATATTGCGCTCTGCGCGCAAAGAATTGGCCATATCAGCCACAGCTGCAAGCCTGGGGGGAAATCCTTGGGTGACTAGCTCAAGTATATGCTCAACAACTACGTCCTCCTTAATCTTAGTCAGATTCTTTGATTTAGGCTAGTAATCTGCTTGTGGAGTCTGTCCTGCGTGTTAGTGGCTTAGTGTTGATTAAGCGACGTTGTAGATAGCTGCAGCGCGTTGCTAAGAGAGTGTTGCGTCTTGTTTAAGAGCCTGAAGGGCAGTCTGTATCTAACGTTCATTAGAAGGTTCTATCTAGCGTTGTTGTTAAGGCATCACGTAGGAAGGTAGAGTTTGGTAGGGGCTTGGCAAAAGTGATCCACGAGCCCGGGTGATCCACGAGCCCGTGAGGTACGTTATATTAATATATAACTAAGTCTCCTCTTTAAAATAAGCTATGAAATAATATTATAGACCTATTAATAGAATAGTTATTAAGCGTAGAAGGTTTTAAGCTTAATATTCCTTGCTAAGACACTAAGTTAGAATTCTTTACTAGGGCTCTAGCAGCCTAAACATTAGAAAATACAAGAATATTATTTAAGAATAGTAGGTAAACTAAGAATTCTACGCCTAGGCCTGCCTGTTCTGCAATATGTGCTTGTTAGCAGGTGCTTTGTTGTGTGCTGTTGCAGCTGCTACGCAGTGTGCTGTTGCAGCTGCAGCTGATACATTGTGTGCTGGCGCAGCTGCAGCTGCTATGGTGTGCTGTCGCAACTTTAAAACACAAACTAGGCTGGCGGAATGGGTATACTCCAACGTCCTTCGTGGGTACCCCCCAAAACCTTATCAATATTACATGGATTCTAGCGAACTAGGGCTGAAAAGAAAGAGAAAACCCACCTCTACAATTTTGTAGTAGAAGGTTTTGTTATAACTATTAAACTGCATAAGCTAGAGGCTAGAAAACGTTAAAAAAGGGGGGGTACCTAGCAAGCATACCCATTAATAGGTATACTTTGCTAGGTAGTGTTAATAACTTAGCTAATACTAGGCAGAATTAGCTAATTCTTTTTTTATTAGAAGGCGTAATACTAGGCGCTTCTATTGAATAATAGATTATGTAAGCGTATCTCTGCTAGTTAAGAAGCTATAAGCCAAAACGTAAAAAAGCATACCCTACCCATCCGCCAGCCTAACACAAACCTTTAACAAACAAACCTTTAACGCTCTATAACTTGCGTTGTAGTAGGCCTATAATAATAATTTTTTGCTTATATTAAAGCTACAATTTTGCTCTATCTGTATGTGAAATTTCGCAATTTTTAAATATTTAATACTAGTGCTAGTAGAACTAAGGGTAGCTATATAATAATATTATAATATTGCTTTAAGTTTGTTAAATATAGGCACTTAGTGTTTTTGCTGTTAGCAATGTTAGCGCGAAATTAGGGCTGTTGGGCGCAAATTGGGGCCGTTGGGGCCGTTGAACGGCCGTTGCACGACTATGCCACGACTGTCAGCAACGGCGAGTCTGGGCCAGATTTTGAAAAACTTTTCCTGATGTAGCTGTACTTCAAGCTTTGATATCACAGCCTCTAGGTTAAACAGGACTAGGCCAGCGCCTCTAAATCCTCCCTAGATGTTGCTCTTAGTAATTAAAGCATCAAAAGCAGCTTTAAAGCACAGCAAGAACTTAAGTTTAGTGATGCAAGTGATCTTGCTCCGCATCAGCTGCTTGGCTTGGCGGCCATAGGCCTTCTTTAATGGGGAGAAACAACCCACGTCAAGCGGCTGTAGTAGATGAAATAAGTAGGGGGGCATACACAGAGTAATAATCTTGTGCTCCTTACAGTACTAGTAGAATTTAACTAAGTTGTGGCTCTTGTAGCTGTCTAAAATAAGCAGTTAGTAGCTGCTAACAGTGCGCGCCTTTATATGCTTATTAAAGTGCTTTAAATACTTAACTCTAAGCTTATTATTAGTCTAGCTGTTGTTAGAGACACTAATAACCTAGTTATTAGGTATACTAGGCTCCTTGTACTAGGCTAAGAGGTGGTGCTTGCTAGAGAGGATAATAAAGGGTATAATAGACTAGCCCTTTGCGCAGATGCCTTAGATAATGCTAGTCCACTCTTAGTCGCCCTGCTGCACTGTCTTTAGTCTCCCTTAACGCTTAGAGCCTGTAACAACAGCACTAGTAGATATAACACCTATTATAAAGCTAGATTTATTAAAGTTGTAGGTGTCTTTATCTAGGATACTATACTTAGCTTTAGTATTCTCTATAAGCTAGAACTAGTTACTAATTACCTTAGGATCCTTACATATTACTCTCTTGTAGTTATACTTATAATTAAACTTAAATTTAAGCTCTAGCTAACGTTTAACAAAGTTAGTAGCCTAGTTCTTACTAACAGGGGTCTAGTGGCGCTTAGTAAGCAGAGAATTGGCTATGCCCTCTACATTAGTAAGTTAGGGTGAGAATCCTTGCTTATCTAGCCTCAATATATGCTAGATAATTACCTCCTCTTTAGTGCTAGTAATCTTAATTATGTTAGGCTTGCAATCACGTTGTAGAGAGGTTCTAGCAAGTTAGTAACTAAGTGTCCTTTAAGACACGTTGTAGATGGCTGCAGCGCGTTGCTAAGAGAGTGTCGCGTCTTAATAGATAGCCTGAAGAGCAAGCTGTATTCCTGCTTCCTTTAAGGGTTTGATTGTGTTGTTACGTTGAGGCATTGTAGGTAGAGTGAAGTTTGGTGTGGTCTTGGCAAAAGTGAGCCACTCGCTTGTGTGAGCCACTCGCTTGTGGAGTACGTTATCTTAAGAAGGAGAGGAGATACAGGCTTCGTAAGCACACCATGCTAATCCTCTCTTCTAGGAGATTACAATAACAATGCTTAGGTAAGCATGGCGCTATACCTAAGAAGGAAATACGCTAGAGAAAGATTATAAGAACAAAGTCTTATAACTTTACACTCTGCAAGGAGAACAATATCTACACGCTCTGCATGCCGCCTCATTCGTCGCATCTGCTGCAGCCACTTGACGTGGTCTGCTTCTCAGTGCTGAAGCGCGCATACAGCCGTGAGATTGAGGCTCTGATCCGCTACTATATTAACCACATCACAAAGCTTGAGTTTCTGCCAGCCTTTAAGACAGCCTTTGAGCGATCGTTCACATTAGCCAATATCTGCTCAGCCTTTTGAGGCGCAGGCCTTATCCCTCACCAGCTAGACGTTGTTCTATCAAAGCTTGATGTGCAGCTGCGTACGCCTACTCCAGTTGCTCTGCCAGAGGCTCTCTGGGAGACTTGTACACCAAGTAATGTACGCGAGCTTGAGGCTCAATCAGCGTTGATACGTGATCGCGTGCGCCGGCACAAGAGCTTCTCACCTGCCTTAATTATTAAAGCAATTAACCAGCTTAAGAAAGGCGCTGAGGTGATACTGCTCTCAGCTGAGCTGATGCGCGATCAGATCACCAGCCTTAAGAGAGCCAACGAGGCAGCAACAAAGTGTAGACAGCGCAAAAAGAAGCGAATACAGAGGCAGGGGACCTTAACAAAGGGAGAGGGAGAGGATCTACTTATTTAAAAGGAGGCTGACTAGCAGATAGAGCGTGGGCAACGTCAAGGTGGGGAGCAAGCAGGCCGCAGCCGCCAGGCTCTTGCGCGCTGCAAGAGGTGCAGAGAGACTACTAGGCACAACTCACGCACGTGTAAAAAAGATACTTTAGACACTGCTTAATCTATCTTACAAACATCTAACGTACTCTATCACCGAGCTAGTCATATCACCAAACTAGTCAAAAACTCTTAGCGCGCCCAACTTATATTGCAGCAACTTAAATTACTTGCTATTAAACAGTGATCTAGCAAACTATGTACTTGCATTAGATTTAGAATCTTCTCCTATATCTTTCTAACGCGTTTAAGCGTTGTGCCTAGTACCTCTATAGTTTCTACAGCGCTGTTAGGCTAAATAGGTCCTTTCTTAAGTATCTACACTATAAGTCTTCTTTAACAGCTAAGCTGCTACACACACCTTAGCAGCTACCTGTAATGCTGCTAGGCTGTACTTAAGTGTGCTGCCACGCTAAATCTACTTTCACTTGCGCGAATTCCTCCTACTTATAACTGCTAACTACTCTTTAAGCTTAGTAATGCAAGCAGCGTAAAGCGCATTTTAGTGCAGCATTAATTTACCGCCTTTAATAAGCTAAGAGAAGCTAGCCTAAGCTGTAACTAGTAACTAGGTAAAGGAGTTATGTATAAGCTTTAACTAAGATCTAAACTTATATATATTACTTAGAGTTCTTTACTGCTACAGTATCTCTAGTAGAGGGGGTGCTAGTAGGGTACAGTGCCACACCTTAAGGCAATCTAACACTACCTGCGCGTTAGTAGGGACTAGCCCTAATACCTTAAAGGCCTTCTAACAGTTAGCCTTTATAAATATATTAAGAAACGCATCTCTAAAGGCTAGAAGGAAGCCTTCCTTGTTAATATAGAAGACGCGTTAGTGTGCTAAGTCCTAGACGCTTTAGGAGTACTTGCACTTTAACAACAAGAAACAGACTATGTTAAGCAGCTAGAGGATGTGTAATAAGTAAGCTAGCATACAAAGAGTAAGGATCTTATTCTCTAGGCATTAGTCCTTAAAATCCTAGTTAAGGTAGCTCTTATAGCTGTCTAAGATAAGTAGCTTGTAGCCCCCTACCTAACGCGCTCTTATATGCGCATTAAAATGCTTTAACTACTTAAGGCTAAGCGCGTTATTTGTCTAGCTGTTCTTAGAGATAGAGAGCTTCTAATTGTGCAGTATATCTGTCTCCTTATACTAGGCAGAGATGTAGATGCGTCCTTTGTAGATAATGAAAGGTAGGGTTGCATATCTAGCAGCGCAGATGCTCTGTATAACTGTAACCTACTCCTAATTACCTGGCTGAACAAGCTCAGGTTAAGCGCGTCTCTCAGCGCCTGTGACAGCCTTTATTAACCCTATCACGCCTATCTAGAACCTAGTCTTATTAAAGTTGTGCATGTTGTTTTTGTAGATACTATACTTAGCCTTAGTACCCTTTACTAGCATAAACCACGCGTTAATTACCTTAGGATTTTCCTGTAGTATCCTCTGTCTATCCTTTGCTTAGTAAAACACTATCTTAAGCTAATCTAAAAGTATTATAAATTTTATAGCCTAGATTTTACTAATAGGCTCCCTACTACGCACACCTAATAGTTTATTAGCTATATCTACTACCTCACACAGCTAAGGCGCAAACCCTTACATATTAAGGTTAAGGATATATTAGACAATTCTCTGCTTATTAGTTGTAGTAAGCTTCTAGCAGTTTGCACGTACGTTAAGTTAAAATAGAGTATTGTTGGCACGTTTAGAGAGCCTGCGCTGGTTAACGTTAAACGCAGCAGCAGCAGCCTAATAGCTCTAAAACTGTCCAGTATTATAGGCCTAGAGAGCAAGCTGCAGTCTCCCTTTGTGTTGAAGCAATAAGTTGTGATGTTGTGAAGACATACTGTAAAGTGCGGAGTTGTATTGGTCTTAGCAAAGTTTGACTGGTTCAGTGATGTAACTGGCTTGGTGATAGAGTACGTTATATATTGTCTCTTAACGTGGTTGAGATGTTTGCATATAGAGGTGCACAAAGTTAGTAGAGTGCACACTCGCTTGTAATGCGCACTCGCTTATAAAACACGTTAATCTTGTTGCGCATAAGTGTAACGACTATGCACGAACACGACACGTGGCATAGAGCTCATAGCAGCTAGAGGCAAATCTAGCTGGCTAGCACTATTATTGTCTAAACATATTATACTACGCAACTAATAATTGCTTAAGTATTCTTGTGCTTACCTTTTGGTATAGGCAGAGAAGTCACGTAGTATTGATTTTGAGGGCAGGGCGCCTACTCTGTTACAATAAGCAGCTTAGCTTAGCAACTATAGGCCTTCTTTATTAGGGCAAAACAACCTACATTAAGCAGCTGCAATAGGTGCGATAAGTAATGAGGCATATACAAGGTAATAATCTTATGTTCTTTACAGTACTACTGGAAATTAACTAAGTTATAGCTCTCATAGCTGTCTAGAACAAGCAGTTAATAGCTGCTAATAGTGCGCTCCTTTGTGTGCTCATTAAAGTGCTTCAACTACTTAATACTAAGCTTTTGTTAGTCTAGATATTCTTAGAGACAGTGATAACCTAGCTGTAAGGTATAGACAGCTCCTTGTACTAGAGAGAGAGGTGGTGCTTGCCTTTGGAGATAACAAAGGGTGGGATACTCTATCCTAACGCGTTAATGCCCTAGTAGATAATGCTGGTCTACTCTCAGTGTAACGATCTAGACTCTAAAGCTAAAGGAGAGCTAGAGCTAGCTGGTTACATTATCTTAGCCAGCTTGGCTTAAGCTAGATATATATTATCTACGCAGTTAATTAGACATCTAGTTAACTTGTGCATGCTTTTTAGCAAAAGTTGTTAGGAAGTAGATATCCTTTATTGGCCTTTGGCCAGACCACTACACTCAGTCGCCCTGCTTTACTGTCTTTGGCCTTCCTCAACGCTCAGAGCCTCTAACAATAGCTCCAGTTGATATGACGCCTATTACAAACCCAGACTTATTTAAGTTGTAGTTGTCTTTATCTAGGATACCATACTAAGCTTTAGTATTCTCCACTAGGCGGAACTAGCCCTAGATAACCTCAGGATCCTTACAGAGGGCTCTCTTGTAGTTGTAATTTTAATTAAACTTAACTGTAAGCTCTAGGCGACGCTTAACAAACGTGCTAGCCTACTTCTTGCTGCCAGGAGGCTGGTGGCGCTTAGTGAGTAGAGAGTTGGCCATATCCTCCACATTAGTAACCTGGGGTGGGTATCCTTGCTTGCCTAGCTTTAGAATATGCTACAAAATTACCTCCTCTTTAGTGCTTGTTAGCTTTATTAAGTTAACCTTACAATTGTAATGTAAGAGCGTTCTAGCACATTATTGTCTTAGTATTCTTTCTAACACCTTGTAGATTGTTGCAGCGCATAGAAAAGTAAGAGTTGCGTCTTGTTTAAGAGCCTAGATAGCAAGCTGTAAATCTAATTCCTTTAAGACGCTTTAAGCCTTATTGCATTAAGACATTGTGGGTTGTATGAAATTTGGTGTAGTCTTGGCAAAATCCGGTCACTCGCCCGGGTCGGCCACTCGCCCGTGAGGTACGTTATAGTATTCCTGTGAGCTGGTAGCATGAACATTGGTGTGGAAGTCTAGACATTAGGCTAGCTAAAGCCTTTGATATTGTGTCCTTATATAGCTCAGAGTACCTTTTTCCTCAGGACGAGCATATGGGTTTAAGCTTTTATCGAAATCCAGCTTTTTGGATCATCCTTGTACGACTTGTTACGCTCAAAGGCCGGGAACTTTACTGCTTGCAGATTTCTCATTGTTTCAATGGAGAGTACATAATTGAGTAAGTCGGCTGGACTTTGTTGCGTTCTAATTGTGCTTTGCTTCTCGGCTATCCTCTGATGAGGATTTACCTAACACTCCACTGTCGCCGTCCAGCAGCTTGTACACATCAGGACCCGATCTCACAGTTAGGTTTGCGAGCTGCAAGATTGATCTCAAGGAGTATGAATGCTAGAAGAAAGAACTGGGTCCTATCAACAATCTTTTTACCATAAATTTAGACTGGCCACTTATTCCGCTAACTTGATATCAGAGGCCAGCTTATGGGCAATGCTTTCCGCAGTGTTCGATATTATGGTAAGTGATGCCTCGTTTAAGTAGCACTGTGCAAAAACTTCTTGAATGCCTGTCATGTAGCGGTGCTGTGGTAATGAGATAAAGCGGCGGTGGTGTCGCGTTTGCGTGCATTTAATGCACAAACACAGGGTCTTCGCAATTTTCTCGCTGCTTGTGTTAGATCTTAAGGAAAATTCTAGGGGGCTTGACGCATTTCTTGTAGGTAGGATCTAGTTACTTTTTCTGTGTTCTAGGCTCCCCAAGTTTCTAGCTCTACAAATTGTATCGATTTCTTCTGCTTACAATGATACATTCGTAGCCACACACTACAGGTAGAGTACGGCTTTGCTACTAGAACAATTCCGGCTGTATGCAGTACCTTCTACGTATCTAACAGACTTAACCTAGCAAAGTCTTAGGTAATCTGTGTCGCTTTGAATATTGACTCTTACTTACAACGTTTAGGGTACACAGGAGTTGCAATTAGTTCGTATGCATTCATTGACAACGCTGGATGGCTGGCTTGAGTTGGTGTCAGAACACCATCCTATGCAGCGTCCCAAGTCTGTGTTTTCTTTCGGGTCGTTGCATCTGGCAAAAGCCATAGGTAATAGAGTAACAAGGAGGGCAAAGGATTTCATGTTTAAGATGTGTCGGGAGGCTAATCTGTCTGGGAATAGTGGTAGGAAAAATACGATATGTAGGGATTAAATAATTGAAAGATTAGTGGCAGGCAAGAGTCTTCTTATACGCATCTAAGGTGGGACCGATATTGTTGAAGGACTTGTAATGAGCGATGTTTGCACAGTCGGTCCGCAAAAAAGCGCCGGCCTCAATTTCCTCGGCTTCGAAGACCAGTAGTCGACCAGTGATTGACGCTAAACAGCTACGAACCGCTGCAACATGTACTGGGACCGGTATGGCGCGCAATTTCTTAAACTAACGTATCACAGGCAGATCCCCCAATCCAAGCGAACCCTCCGCCCCATCAAAGTCAGCCTACCGTGTCCGTGCGCGCAATGCGTCGAACCCCCCTTACTAGGAGAGTAAAACTCAGCTCCGCCGTGATACCGGTAATCCTTGCGAGGCTGGAACTGAAGAGCTTTGCTCTTGTTATTGTGCTTCTTCTAAGTCTTGAGAAACTGTTCAAGGCCTGCTATCTCGTAGTGGAGAAGCTGATTCTGAATTGAGATGTGGTGGAGCGAGCGGCTGATCTTCCTCAGCTCCTTACCGGTACTGCTCTTATTCCTGGCAACCTTCTGCAGTAGAGTCTCAATTTTGAGCCAATCCTTGCTAGAATAGACTGGAGAAGAGCTTGTGCTGCTGCTAGAGGCCTTAGGGTATCCTTTGCAAAGTATTGGAGGATAACATTAGGCTAAAGGGGTTAGTAAGTTGTTTAGTATTTATTTTACGTCTAGTTAATAGAGACGAAGTCCACTATCTTGCCTCCTGAAGGGCATATACGACGTGCTAAGCTATAGAATCATAGTACTGACACACTACCTTACAAAGCATTTCTTGCCTGCGAGGGTATTGCTACTATTTCAAGCTACAGCTCCCCTTCTAGTTAGGGAGACTAAGCAGTGTATGTACATTAGGGTGGATCCCTCGTGTGTGTCTAGAGGCAGGTGAGTGCTAGAAGAGTGGGAGAGAGGGAGAGAGAAAGTAAGTGTCAGACATTGGGTTACTGAGGAAAGGTTGGCAGGGCTGGATCTTTACAGAGACATAACTTAGAGGTCTTAGCTAAGTTCACTAAGCAAAGCAGGGGCCTACAGACTAAGCCTGAAAATCAGCAACACGCTAGATTAAGGTTGCTAAGCATATAAATAAGGAGTAGCTAAGTAATTTAGGACTACTAAAATAATACCTTAACTAATAACTAATAGAATAGCACGTAAAGAGTAACGTACTCCACAAGCGAGTGGCTCACACAAGCGAGTGGCTCACTTTTGCCAAGACCACACCAAACTTCACTCTACCTACAATGCCTCAACGTAACAACACAATCAAACCCTCAAAGGAAGCAGGAATACAGCTTGCTCTTCAGGCTATCTATCAAGACGCGACACTCTCTCAGCAACGCGCTGCAGCCATCTACAACGTGTCTTAAAGGACACTTAGTTACTAACTTGCTAGAACCTCTCTACAACGCGATTGCAAGCCTAACATAATTAAGATAACTAGCACTAAAGAGGAGGTAATTGTCCAGCACGTGTTAAGGCTAGATAAGCAAGGATTCTCACCCCAACTCACTAATGTAGAGGGTATAGCCAATTCTCTACTTGCTAAGCGCTACTAGACCCCTGTTAGCAAGAACTAGGCTGCCAACTTTGTTAAACGTTAGCTAGAGCTTAAAGTCAAGTTTAATTGCAAGTATAACTACAAGAGAGCGCTGTGTAAGGATCCTAAGGTTATTAGTAACTAGTTCTAGCTTGTAGAGAATACTAAAGCTAAGTATAGTATCCTAGATGAAGACACCCACAACTTTAATAAATTTGGCTTTATGATAGGCGTTATATCCACTAGTGCTGTTGTCACAGGCTCTGAGCGTTGAGGGAGACCAAAGACAGTGCAGCAGGGCGACCAAGAGTAGACTAGCATTATCCAAGGCATCTGCGCAAAGGGCTGGTCTATCCCACCCTTCATTATCCTCTCTAGTAAGCACCACCTCTCAGCCTAGTACAAGGAGCCTAGTATACCTAATAACTAGGTTATTAGTGTCTCTAACAACAGCTAGACTAATAATAAGCTTAGAGTTAAGTAGTTAAAGCACTTTAATAAGCACACAAAGGCGCGCACTGTTAGCAGCTACTAACTGCTTGTTCTAGACAGCCACAAGAGCCACAACTTAGTTAAATTCTACTAGTACTATAAGGAGTATAAGATTATTACTCTGTGTATGCCCCCACACTCATCCTATCTGCTACAGCCGCTTGACGTGGGTTGTTTCTCCCTATTAAAGAAGGCCTATGGCCGCCAAGCCGAGCAGCTGATGCGGAGCAAGATCACTCGCATCACCAAACTTGAGTTCTTGCCGTGCTTCAAAGCTGCTTTTGATGCTTCAATTACCAAGAGCAACATCTAGGGAGGATTCAGAGGCGCTGGCCTGGTCCCGTTTGACCTAGAGGCTGTGATATCAAAGCTTGAAGTACAGCTACGCACGCCAACGCCACCTATTGTAGACAACAGCACGTAGGAGTCTAAGACACCAAGCAACACCCTAGAATTTAGGTCTCAATCAAAGCTAATTCAAGAGAGGATCCAGAGACACGCTAATAGCTCACTAACATCAATGGTTGACGCCCTTAATCAGCTCACCAAAGGCGCAGAGCTAATGGCGCATTCACTAGTTTTGGTGCGCAACCAGGTTGCTGACCTTCAGGTAGCCAATAAGGCTGCCACACGCTGTAAATCACACAAAAGAAAGCAATTACAGTGAGATAGGGTATTAACCTTTGCTAAGGGAGTGCGGCTAACTACTCTAAAGGAGTTTGAGGCCCGTAGTGATGGGAAGAAGGCAAAGAAGAGAGGAGGCGCTAATAGCAGCACTTAGTTATTAAGACACTGTAGCATGTGTAGCAAGGCAGGGCACAACAGGACAACGTGTAAGAAAGATGCGCAAAGTACTGTAGATTAGTGCAATATACTGTGTAGTACATGATATTGTTGTTGTGTGCTGTAATGTTGTAAAGTAGTTGTAGTGTTGGTGTAGTCTTGGCAAAAGTGAGCCACTCGCTTGTGTGAGCCACTCGCTTGTGGAGTACGTTATATAAGATTAGAGAAGAGACATAAAATAGAGAGGATAGAGAATATACACAATTCTTACTACCTATAATCTTGTTAAGTCTATACTCTAATAATAATATAAGAATCTAATAATTTAGACTCTTACTACTATAAGTAAGCTAGAATAATATTAATCCTTAGCACACCTACTATTATACTTACTAAATATACAATGTACACCCTGTGGCTACGCTAGCTAGAGACACGCTGTGTCTCTCTAGACGTGTAGGATAAAATTAATCCTAACTAACTCACGTGCCTAAAGTTAAAGCTATAGTTACTAGCTACACTAGATCTTATAATATATAAATAGAGAATAACACTTAACATAAAGCACCACTAAGCTAGACACACCACTAAGCTAGACACTTTTTCTTGGCATTATGAACACTATGTACAGGACAAGCAATTACTTACTACTTGCTACAGAACCTGCGTACAACGCACTTGCATCAGATGCAGACTCTTCTTCTGCATCTTTCTAGCACGTACAAGCGTTGTGCCTAGTCTTCCTACAGTTACTATAGTGCTGTTAACCTAGCTGTGCTCTTTCTTAACTACTACTACCACGCGCTTTCTTTAACACTGTACGAGCTGCAATTGCGCTTCTAGCTACTAACAATGCTGCTTTACTATACTCTATTGTGCCCCTATACTAGATCTGCTTTCTTTTCTAAGTCTTGTGCTTTATTATCTCTACTAGTTGCTCTTCAAGCTCCTGTATATAAGCCTTAATAAGTATATTTTTATATAGTATCTCTTTAGCTCCTTTAATAAGCTTTAAGAACCCCTTCTAAGTAGATGTTAGTAACTATATAAAGCGCTTACTTATAAGCTTTAATTATAACCTAAATTTATAGGTATTGCTTAGGGTTCTAGATTGCTATAGTGTTTCTAGTAGAGGTATTAGTAGAGGGGTATAAAATTACACTTTAAGCTAATTAAGGACTACCTATATATTAATAGGGACTAACCCTAATACCTTAAAGGCCTTTTTACAGTTCTTGTATGTAAATATATTAAAATAGGCGTCTCTGAAGGCTAGAAGGAAGCCTTCCTTATTAATATAGAAGACGTGTTAGCGTGCTAAGTCCTAGACATGTTAGGAGTACCTTAGTTTTAATAGCAAGAAATACACTATATTAGTGTGTCTAGCTTAGTGGTGCTTTACGTTAAGTGTTATTCTCTATTTATATATTATAAGATCTAGTGTAGCTAGTAACTACAGCTTTAACTTTAGGCACGTAAGTTAGTCAGGATTAATTTAATCCTACACGTCTAGAGAGACACAGCGTATCTCTAGCTAGCGTAGCCACAGGGTGTACATTGTATATTTAGTAAGTATAATAGTAGGTGTGCTAAGGATTAATATTATTCTAGCTTAGTTATAGTAGTAAGACTTTTAATTATTAGAGTCTTATAATATTATTAGAGTATAACGTAAAGCACCACCAAGCCAGACACACCACCAAGCTAAACACTTTTTCTTAGCACTGTAAATTTTCTATACAACATAATATACAACAATAATATAAGTAGATATTAACTTAGTAAGAAGGTAGAATTACTCTTGCGCTTTAGGCCTATACCTTAGGATAATTTAAGAGCGTACAGAGGGCTGTTGCTACCTTTAAGGTACCTTTCTAGAGGCTCTCTAATTAGCTAAACAAAATTATATTTTAATAAGAAGCACTACCTAACAGCTAGAAGCTCTCTATAATAGAAGAGTAAATAATTATATAATACATCCCTAACCTTAATTGACGCAAATTTGCCCCCTAGCTGTGTAAGGTAGTAGATATTGTAGATAAACTATTAGCTTTATATAGTAGGACACCTATTAGTAAGAACTAGGCTAAGTAATTTGTGTTACGTACAAAGGAGCTTAAGATAGCTTTTAATTAAGTAAAGGACTGTTAGAGAATACTCTAGGAAGATCTAGAGGTAATTAGCATGTAGTTTAAGCTTATACAGGAGATAAAAGACAAGTATAGGGTCCTAGATAAGGATATCTATAACTTTAATAAGACTAGCTTTTAGATAGAAGTAATTAGCTTAATAAAGGTTATTACAGGCTTAGAGAGGCGTACAAGGCTAAACCTTATTTAGCTAGGTAATTAGGAGTAGGTTATAGTTATCTAGAGTATCTACGCTGCTAGGTATGCAACCCTACCTTTTATTATCTACAAAGGGCGTGTCTTTATCTCTGCCTAGTATAAGGAGACTAATATCCTATACAGCTAGAAGGTCTTAGTCTCTAAGAATAGATAGACTAATAATATACTTAGTCTTAAGTAGTTAAAGCATTTTAACACATATGTAAGAGCGCGTTAGAGGGGGTTGTATAGGCTGCTTATCTTAGACAGCTATAAGAGCCACCTTAACTAGGAATTTAAGGACTACTACTAGGAGAACAGAATCCTTACCCTCTATATACCTCCTTACTAATTGCACATACTTTAGCTACTTAATATAGTGTATTTCTTGCTATTAAAACTAAGGTACTCCTAACATGTCTAGGACTTAGCACGCTAATACGTCTTCTATATTAATAAGGCAGGATTCCTTCTAGCCTTTAGAGACGTGTTTTTTAATATATTTACATACAAGAACTGTAAAAAGGCCTTTAAGGTATTAGGGCTAGTCCCTATTAATGTGTAGGTAGTCCTTAATTAGCTTAAAGTGTAATTTTATACCCCTCTACTAATACCTCTACTAGAAACACTATAGCAATCTAGAACCCTAAGCAATACCTATAAATTTAGGTTATAATTAAAGCTAGTAAGTAAGTGCTTTGTGTAGTTACTAATATCTACTTAGGAGGGGTTCTTAAAGCTTGTTAAAGGAGCTAAAGAGATACTATATAAAAATGTGCTTATTAAGGCTTATGTACAGGAGCTTAAAGAGCAACTAGTAGAGATAATAAAGCGCAAGACTTAGAAAAGAAAGTAGATCTAGCATAGGGGCACAATAGAGTATAGTGAAGCAGCATTGTTAGTAGCTAGAAGCGCAGCTGCAGCTTGTACAGTGTTAAAGAAAGCGCGTGGTAGTAGTAGTTAAGAAAGAGCACAGCTAGGTTAACAGCACTGTAGTAACTGTAGGAAGACTGGGCACAACGCTTGTATGTGCTAGAAAGATGCAGAAGAAGAGTCTGCATCTAATGCAAGTGCGTCATACGCAGGTTCTGTAGCAAGTAGTAAGTAATTGCTTGTCCTGTACATAGTGTTTATAATGCTAAGAAGAAGTGTCTGGCTTAGTGGTGTGTCTGGCTTGGTGGTGCTTTACGTTAAACTTAATAAGATTAACGTGTTTCACAAGCGAGCGCCGCACCCAAGCGAGCGCCGCACTCTCGCTGCCAGAACGCCGGCGCAACAACAGCGCGTAATGTCTCAACCACAACAAGCTCCTACACTCTATACTGAAGTTGATGTACAGCTTGCTATATCTAATATCTTAAGAAACTAAATTCAAAGTATCTAACAAGCTAAGAAAGTCTATAAATTGCCTAAACAAATAATCTAGTACTAATGCAACAGAACACGCTCTTAATGCGACTGCAAGCTAAATGCAAAGCGCCTTATAAAGCTAGAAGAGGAGGCAGTTATACTACGTATACTTAAGGAGTCTGTGCGTGGCCTACCCTCCTTAAGGGCAGATGTATAAGATATAGCAGATAAACTGCTAAGAGAGCGTGGTGCAAAGCCTGTTAGCAAGAACTAGGTTAATAACTTATTAAAGCGTACACTAGAGCTCTAGAAGCAGTAGACCCGCCTATACAATCACTAGTGGGCTGCCTGCGAGGAACTAGCAGTTATCTAGCCCTAGTTCACGCTTGTTTAGTCTATAAAGGCAAAGTACAGTATTATAGACAAAGATGTGTATAACTTTAATAAATCTAGCTTCCTAATAGGCAAGATCTTGTTATAGCTAGTAGTATTAGGCTTAGAGAAGCCTAGGAAGCAGAAGAAGATCTAACCTAGCAATTATAAGTAGGTTACCCTAGTATAAGGCGTTAGGTTAATAGGGAAGGTTATCCTACTATTCCTTATCCTTGCAGGCAAGGTTCTTATCGCTAACTAGTTTACTAAGGACCTCCTACAGGACTAGATTATTAATGTTAGTCCTACTAGCTAGACTAATAATAATCTAGCGCTTACCTAGCTCCTCTACTTTAATATGCATGCGAAGCTAGTTAGGATCTACTAGCTACTTATTATTAATAGCTATAAGAGCCACTGCTTAGTGGCTTTCCAAGATCTCTGCAGAGAGAAGAAGATAATCACTCTCTGTATGCCCCTATACTTGTTGCACCTGTTGCAGCCACTTAACGTCGCCTGCTTCTCGCCACTAAAGCGCCTATATAGCAACAAGGTTTTAGCCTTAGCACGCAGTCACATCTAATATATAAATAAGGAAACCTTTCTGCTAGCCTTTAAATTAGTGTTTAGTAAGGTGTTTACTACAGAGAAGGTTTGCACAGGCTTTAGAGGTGCTAGGCTAGTCCTACACAATCTAGAGGTAGTGTTACTAAAGCTTAATGTGCGCCTGCGCACGCTAATGCTACTAAAACCTAGCAACGTTGCCTAGGAGCTAAAGACACCACACACTACTTACAAAGCAGAGGAGCAGTTAACTCTAATTTAAAAGCAAATTTAGATCTATTAAGGGTCTCTAGCAAGTTTGTTAGATAAGTAGGTAAAATAGTTAGTAAAGGGTGCTTAGCAGATAGCTTATAATTTAGTATTAATGTAGGAGGAAATAGGCTGCCTTTAAGACACTGTAGAAGCGTCTATAAAGTGCAAGACCTGTAAGCAATAATATATACACACAGAGGAGACCCTTATAGTTAGTAAAGTAGCTAACTTAATTACTAAAAAGAAGGGTAGGGGTTATAGTAAGGGTAAGACACCTATAAAGAGGGTGCGTGTTAGACAACACTACAGGTATTATAGTAAGATTAGACATAATTCCTATACTTACAAGGTAGAAATAGAGGATATAGATAATAGTAAAGCTTCTAAATAATACTATCTAGGCCTGCAAACAATTATTTATTTGTGTTATGTTGTGATATAGCGCTGCGCAGGCGTTCTGTTGTTGAAAGTGCGGGACACAGTTGGGTGCGGCGCTCGCTTGTGAAACACGTAATAGGTAGTAAAAATTATATATATTCTCTATCCTCTCTATTTTGTGTCTCTCCTCTAATCTTATATACTCTTAACCTACCTTTCTATTACTTATTAGCTAAGGTATTATCTTAGTAGTCCTAGATTACTTAGCTACCCCTCTTTTATATGCTTAGCGACCTTAATCTAGCGTGTTGCTAATTATTAGGCTTAGTCTGTAGGCCCCTGCCTTGCTTGGTGAACTCGGCTAAGACCTCTAAGTGATGTCTCTGTACAGATCCGGCCCTGCCAACCTTTCCTCAGTAACCCAATATCTGACAAGTTAATTAGCTATATCTTCAACACAATAAAGCGTTGGAGCAAATCCTTGGGAATCCAGCTTCCTAATATACTGTACAAGCGCCCTCTGCTCTGTCTTCTGAAGATTTGCTAATTTAGGGGAGGTATTGCGTGTTGACTGCGTCCCAGCGCGTCGCTGTTGGAGGGTTGTTTTTGACACCTTATAGACCACTGCAGCGGGTCGCACGCTTAGTTCCTAGGGCCTCCTAATTGCTTAAAGTGCAAGCTTAATTCTGTCTTCTTTTAAGAGCATTTCAAGGTTGAGTGGTTAGTCTATTGAGGTTTGAAGGTGGGACAGCCCAATGGCTTGTTGAGGCGGTCCACTCGCTTAGCCGGCCCACTCGCTATACACTCACGTTAGCCATGCTAAATTAGGCTCTATTAGCCCTTAGATGTTAAATCCTGTACAGGATAGTGCGCCCAATGCTCTTAGAAAAGTAAGGTAGCAGGGCGACAACATAGCTCTATTGTCAGCAGTCAATAGCTCGTCAGCATGCAGTAGCGAATACCGCTTGTATAATCAACAGCCAGGCTCATAACTGTAACTGCGTGAGCAGTGTCAGTCGGGGACTGTGATCAACGATTGTATTGCTATCTGTTGTTGTGTTGTGTTGTGTTGTGTTACACAAGCTATCAGCTCTCAGGTAAGTGCACTTGCCCACCGGGCAGTGCCTGATACAATAGGATATCATGTGATCTGAGCCACGTGGTTACGTATCCGTTACCGCTGTTCCCGTCCTCGGTCATTTACTTTGCTGCTCTTTTACCCTTCACTAGTTACTTCCCGCCAAACACATCATGGTAAGAGGGGGGTGTATGTAGGCTAACCCTCACGGCTGTCAGTTTTGACCTCAACGTAGCCAAGTCAAGTGATCGCCGCCCATATCATCAATAATGAACGATCACGTGGAAGTGACTAGAGAGCAATACAACTAGTGTATTGTGTTCTTGTCTGTTCTTGTTCTGCTTTTATTTTTTGCTCTCCAAGGCTCGCTGCGGGGTCTGTTTTGATGACGTCTTTGTGATGCAGCTGAGGTAAGAGGTGCTCAACGACATAAGGAAGTAGCACCAGACCACCGCCAACAACACATGATCTGCTTCTCCTCTCAACCGTTACAGAAAATACTTTGTAAGTCTACGAGGGATCTGAACAGCTCGACGATATTCAAGGCTGCTCAAGACATGCTTTTACGTAAGTCTGGAGCGCACACGTGTGGATTAGCTGGACTACGCAAGCGACTTCGGCCGATCCTCGCATGATGTAATGGTTGGCCACAGGCATGGCTCGGCGACCCTCCTCGACTGTAACACCAAGTATCAAGCTTGAAGCGTTCTGAAATTCACTGATCATGACCTTTTTTTCCATCAAACTCTACCCTCTCATCACTCATCTTGTCCAGTGTCTGGTAGGTATCAGTGTGAAGGAAATGAATCAGGATATGACTTTTGTCAGCGTCCACATCTTCCAAAGCTATCTCAGATGTCTAGGGGCTGCGAAGGAAAGGTCCTCGAGCTTCTGCAGTACAGCGTCTTGTGCATAGTATCGTTTTTAATCAACGCCGAAGTACACAACAATCAGTGCGCTCGTATATGGGCTAAGATCATAAGCCCTGGAACTACTAAATCATAGATCAAACGTGGCATACCTAGTCTAAGAACGAACAGAGACAGTCCCACTTTTCTCTTACAGCGCGCGGCTGCTTGTGACTGGCAGGATGTTCCTGCACACGAACGTATCGGCACCCCACATCCCCATATTTCATTGCTACACCCTGTCAACGGCAATTTCCCGAGATAATAAAGATTGGCGACCATGAAAGGTAAATAGGAATCCCATTTTCAATCTTGGAAACAGGATGTCTAAAGCCCTTCAGTTATGCCGTATTGCAACTGCAAGCGGCCTTCGCATCGTAATTTGAATCTGGGCTCCGTTTCCAGAACTGAACATCAGCTGGCTTTGTCTATCTACGTAGGGAGGTGAAAACAAAAGCGCGCTTTAGTATAACTTAAACGCCGTGATGAGTCAAGTTAGAAAGAAGGGCCAGAGTGCGTAGCGTCAAAATCATGGTTGAAAGGCAGAATATCGCGGTATTGAACGCGCAACAGCCGAAGCAAGTAGTATAAGTTATCGTGCATAATGTTTATAGATTTCTAGCGCTGAGGTGACCCAGATGTCCGCCGTAGCTATGATACCCACGATATCAAAGAGGTTGCATATCATGCCACAGCACATGTGCGCATCTTGGGAGGCTGGAGACAGGTTCTGCCGCCTATACTGGCTTGGAATGATGACGATCCGCCGGCAGCTGTTTTCAACCTTGCACGTCTGCGAGTCAAGGAATACGGACCGACTTACATGGGTGGGCGGTCTTGACAATTGCGTTCAAGCCTACCGCCGTTGTTCTTCTACTGGCCACTAATTCTGTACAACAAAGTTCCATGGCCGAATGCATCGAAGCCTCCCGAATTCGGACCATAATCGCCACCACCGCCTTCAATGTTCGCAGTCAGGTTCCTATTGACGAGATTGCGGTACGCCTTGGTCCATGATGCATTTATACCGCGAACATCGCTGTAGTGCGCATAGATGGCCTCAAATCCCGGTCGGATGTCGAAGCGTTTCTTCTCCGAGACGACAGGAAGGATACCCTCCCAGCTATGATAGGGCTTGTATGGGACGGAATTGTTCCCGGCGTTGAACTTGCCTGCGTACTCCGCACTTGCCAATATGTTAGCATTTAATGCGTCTCATGATTACAAGCGCCGACTAACTTACCCGTTCAGGATCTGGTTTCCGTAAGCTCCATACAGATCGATACCCTGGTTGTAACCCTGCTGACCGATCACGCCCAGAAGTGCGAAACACAGCGTTGCGTGACCTTGGTCTCTGCCTGCCTCTTGTCCTTGCATCAAAGTCTTGCCGCTTCCTTCCTCCGTAAAGTTCGCAATCGAAAAGTACGGAAGAGCACCATTGATCACGGTACTGCTATCTGGTAGGCCGTTCAGAAAGGTCTTTACAGCCCAGTTATACATGGTCGAGTTATCGGTGAAGATACCGATTGCCATCATGGAGGCAATGTTGCAGAGATCCCAGTTCGCGTAGTAAAAGTCGGGCTTGCCACTGTGCGTGGTGAGAAAGTAGTGGTTCTTGGGAGCGAACACTGTGTTTAGCATATTGCCAAAGACTGTCTGATTCTTCTTCGGCCAGCCTTGGTAGTCGCGGAGCAGTTCGGCGGCGTTGGCGAATTGATATCCGTACAAACCGGCGGCGAGGAACAGGTCTTCGTTGCCGTCGATAACCTTCAACGTGCTGCCCCAGCCGTCCAGAGTTTTGGTTGCAGCATCAGCGAAACTAGTGTTGCCGGTGACTAACCAGCGCAGAGCGAGTCCGTATGCCGAGTGGGCATCGCGGTATGCCGAAGGAGAATTGTTGGTCAGATTCTTCTCAGCAGGGACAGTGCCAGGCGGAAATCGTGCGAGGACTTCCTTGGGGCTTGGCTTCCAGGTAGTCTGCACAAGTGGACGAGTTGACAGATGCTTGAAAGCTGTGGACCTGCATGGGAAACATCAAGTCAGCGTCTGAACTCATCTTCGTCCACGCACAACATGTACGCACCATGGCTCATCTTTGGCCGCAACGCGCGCTTTGATGCGCTCAATGTCCTTCGAGCTGTGAAGCGCACCTGGATGGGCAAATTTCGAGACTTCATAGTGTTGTTCGAATGGGATTGCATTGGCGAGTGCCGTGAGGGCGGTTACGGTAGTGAGAATCGTGAAATGCATGGCTCTGTGGCTAGATAGATGAGGCGCCGCTGATGTTAAGTTGAGCTGAAGGGGAACCACTGCTGCTCTTATGTGTTCGCCATTCACGGCAGCTTCAAGACGGCTTTGTTATCACGTCATCTTCATTTCGCTCGCTTTTCTGTCGGTTGCTGCTACTCCCCGCGTTTTCCCCAGTTGCTCCGCGTTACCAAGAATAACTAAGATTGAAGCATCGGATCTTGCTGCAAGAGGAAATTGAGCGTCGGTGTACAGCATGGCAAATGCGTGAGGCTGTAGACGACCCTGCGTGAACCCTGGAGAGGCGGAGAGAGGTCCGGGACATCGCCCGGTGCCCGCAGCAAAACTCTAATCCGCGGACATTGGGTCCACCCCGCCTGTCTTGCGTGGCGCCACATCGTATTTGCGTTTACTAGCGGAACCCCAGACATCAGAAATCGTAAAATTGTCGGAGTATGCGCGGTAGTTCAGGCCGAACCCTCATGACGTGAACCCGTGTGTGGAGAAAAGCGGAGAAGGTGCGCCATTCAAATATTGCCGTAGGTCAACTGGTTCAAAAACAGAAGATCGTTTGGATTATCACTCAACGCCTCGACAGAAGGCATCCGCCATCATGTCCGCCAAAGAACTCGAAGCAGGTGCCAACGTGGCCAATCACCACGAAATAAACGATATGATCTCTAAGGAGGCCGGTCTTCACTTCGAAGTTGTCGACGAGGATACTTTGCGCTACACCACGGGCCCTCCAATCGAGATCGACGCGGCAACAAATAAGCGTCTCTTTTGGAAACTCAACCGCCGCATCTTGGCCGTTCAATTGGTCACCTACTTTTGCCAGTCTCTTGACAAGGGTACTCTGAACTTTGCGTCCATCATGGGCATTCAAAAAGATGCTAAACTTGTCGGACAAGAGGTATGTCTCTCTCAGGTCTACTAATGTAGTCATCGCTGACAGGTTGGCAGTACCAATGGCTCGGTACCATACTGTACATTGGTATTTTAGTTGGTGAATGGCCACAAAACTACCTTCTACAGAAGCTGCCGCTTGCTAAAATGCTTTCCGTAAACGTCTTCGTCTGGGGTGCCGTGGTCGCGTGCTCTGCGGCTTCGACTAACTTTGCATCGCTCATGGCTGTTCGGTTCCTGCTGGGCTTCTTCGAGAGCTGTGTTCAGCCAGCCATGATGTTGTTGTGAGTGATCCATGTAGTTATGCACGGCATTTGGCTAATCAGGGCCCAGGACTTCGATGTGGTACACTCGTGAGGAGCAATCTCTCCTAAACTCGCTTTGGTACTGCATGTCCGGTGTGCAACTTATGGTCAGCATTCGAGCTCCCAGGGTCATGAAATAATGCTAACCTGTGTAGGTTGGTGGCCTACTTGCCTTTGGTGTCTCTCACTTCACGGATGGACCCATCAAGAATTGGCAACTGCTGTTCCTCATTCTTGGGCTCGCTACATGTGCATGGTCTTTTGTCATTGGCTACTGCCTTCCTGACAGTCCCATGACAGCCAAATGCTACTCGGAGGACGAGAAGCGTCTCTTCATCGAGCGGGTTCGTCACAACGAGACCGGCATCAAGAACAAGGTGTACAAGATGTATCAGGTCAAGGAAGCCTTTACTGATACTTTTGTATGGTGCTGCATCGCCCTCATCACCGTGGCCAACCTGATCATCGGCGGTCTCGGGGTCTTCTCTAACCTCATTATTCGCCAGTTTGGATTTTCTCTCCTCCAAACTCAGCTGCTCAACATTGCTCAAGGTGCTTGGCTGATCATCGTCATGGTTGGGTCGGCACAAGCTTGTCAGAAGTCCGGCCAGAATTGCCTAATGATGATTGTAAGTCATGCAGCGTATGTCATATGACGAAATCACTAACCGGCCTTCAGCTCTGGACTATACCTGCTATCGCCGGTACGATTGTTATCCTCATCGTCAACCCCAGCCCCGGAAACTCTGGCGGCATGCTCATCGCATTCTACTGCACTCAATTCTTCTGCGCTCAAGGCAATATGATCATTTCTCTGATCACCCGCAATATTGCTGGCCAGACCAAGAAGGGCATGGTGATGACAATGGTATTCGTTGGCTGGTCTGTTGGTAACCTTATCGCGCCTCAGATCTTCCAGACGAAAGATGCACCACGGTACCTTCCTGGTTTTTTAGTGCACATCGTCATCTATGGGATATACATCGGTCTAATCGTATTAACGCGCGTTGTCTTGATGGCAAGGAATCGCCGCAAGGATGCTGTTGTTAGCGAAGTCACGCATGAGCTTGCCTTCCAGGATTTGACGGATACGGAGAATCCCAACTTCCGTTACGTGTACTGAGTCAAATTCAGGCTCGTAAAGAGCGGTGGCGGGGTTGATGAACCTGTTTCTGCCTAAGGGCCGCTGGGCTGTTATGCAAGGGTAAAATGTAGTTGTAGGAATTTGGCGAGGAAGATATCTGACACGCGTCAAGTACTGCATGGTTCGTAGTTAAACTATAGCCATTAATTCCATGCTTGATTGGTTGCCCTCCTAAATATGGGATCGTTCGGCTGTTGTCAGTACGAAGGTACAGTGTGTATTGATGTGCATTGGCAGCCTGCTTCCAACAGAGTGCATTCCTTCAATAGCGCTGCACACCATGCACATACATCTCTCGTGGTCTCACATTGATACCCAGAATAGCACCAAGTAGGCACTGGAGGGCAAAAATTATGTTTGAGCACGTGGAATATCTGTTAGACTGAAGACGAACGCCGGTACCCGACACAAGATGTGTTCTGACAGATTATACGAGACTAATGCGTAAGCTCTGAGTTACACTTCCGACCAACCCATCGCCTTCTTGTCATGAATATAGCACTGAGTAAGAGCCTGTGCAAGCATTGAGCGCCGTTGACACCTCTAAGCTGGTACTCGGTATCGCCTTACACGTCGCAGCCGTAGTGTCCTGTCGGTACTACCTGTAGTACAGCAAGGCTCAGAACATCTATGACCGAGAAAATGGGCCACATGAGGCGCTCGCATAGGCTCATTTCGCGGTCCTGTGATTAATTTCCTCATCGCCACTCAGGGCGCCAACGTGCAGGCAGGACCTTTCCCGGTGACCCGAAAGCGGCTAGCGCAGCCACGGAACTGGCAGTAAACCGAAGGCAAAGGAAGAAATGCAAGAGAAGACAACACATCGTCTATCATGGACCCGTACGTCTACTCACTAAATCACCATACATCCTGTCCAAGGCGTGCTCTACTCCTCCTCAAAACGCAGATCTTCCTCAAAAGAAGGAACACCGTACCAATCCATGCTGCCGCGAACATCCCACTTTCGTCCGCGAATCTCGCCGGTGTAGCTGTTGCGCCTGAGCTGTAGCTTCGAATACATCATATAAGGCTGGTAACGGTCAGAGTATCCAGTCCGGGAAAGTTGAAGTGTGAGCCACTGCAAAACTCCTTGCTGTGACTCTGAAACAATCTCGGCAATGCTGATTGCAGCAGAAATGGAACCCTTCTTATCAAGTAGCGGAGGCGCGATGGTTCCCCAGGCATCCTGCACCAGTTTCTCGCTGAACTCCGACGCCTCATCGGGGATGTGAAGGTAAAGATCAAGTTTCTTGAGTCGCATGCTCGACAAAACCTCAAGATGTCTCGCGTCCACCTGTGATTCATGGTCAGCGCCTTGGTCAACTACTGATCGGCACACTTACATTTGTACTACACGGTGCATCCCATCCTAGGCGTTCAAGAATGGGAAACGTGGCTGCAACGGTCTCGAGACGGCTCAGATCCATGTACATGCGACTGCAGTAGTGACCTAACGCCGGCCCAAGAACCAGAGTCCTCAATGTACTCCTGTGCTGCTCGATAGCCGGCCAAAGATCATCAATGCCTGTCTGCGCTTGAGCAATATCAAGGTGTTCAAGCGCCTCGAGTGACTCGATGAACACTTTCGCAGATTCTGTCGCAGCTTTTGCGGCTCCAAAGCGCAGACTCTTAAGGTTTGGTAGTACACCGGTGAAACATCTGAAGAACGTTTCGGGGTTATCCATCCCAAAGTCAAGTTTGCGCAAGCGGGAGCCATCGATGGAGTCACGAAGCATGCAAGAATGCTCTAAATCCCAGAGATAGTTTGACTCTCCCCACAGTCGTACGACTTCGATGCTTAGCTCCTCGAGTCGAGGTAGGTGTAGGCCAGAGGCAAAGTCAAGACGCGGCAGCCCCTTTGGGTCGGTATCAGGGACAATCCTGATGCCGTCGTAGGGATCACCATCTGGCAGGCTCCGTATCCGAAGAGACCGTATTTTTCCACCAGCTGTTAAAGCCTGAGATAGGCGAGGCCAGTCAGAGTGGCAGGGTTTATCTGGTTGGTAGCCCTGAGTGTACACTACATACGTCAGCCCGACAAGAAGAGGTGACGAAAGCAGCTTCATGTCCATCTGCCGATGAGCGATGAACTTGGCATTCTGGCGGTCCGGAACTGCCACGTTTATCTCGAGCGTTGGCCAGTTCGTATGGAGCATGTCGAACACTTCATGAGACATATGTGCAGAAGTCTCCCAGCTGCGATAGTCAGTTTTAGTATCAACGAAAGGACAAGAAGTCGGCATACTTTAGTGATCGAAGGTTTCCATACCTGGCAATCTTGTGCAGTAGCATAATCAAGTCCTCTGAGGGGACCTCGTCCTTGACAGTAACACTGCGAACTTGCCTCGCAAGTTCACCCTTCTCGTCCTGACGGAATGACTGTATAAGAGCCTGAAAAGAGTTTTGCTTCCCACTCTTCTTTAGTCCTTTTTCCAGAGTGACGTTGTGGTACATGAAAGGCAATGCCGCATGGCGCAACGCATTGGAAGAGTGCGCCACGTTGAGTACATCCATGAAGGACGTTTCCGCGAGCTCGGAAAGAATAAGCCAATGAACATCTTCAGGTACGATGTTGAGATTGACAGTCGGGCCTGCAACAGCATCCGACAAAGCAGGAGGGCCAGCGTCAGCCACGTGAATGTTGCGAGTGAACATTGTTTCTGCGTTTCAGTGAAGACGGAGAGGAGAATCCGATGTGCTTTGGCTGGATACAATTCGACCGAGGCTTGGAGCTGTTCTTATAAATGAGCCTTGCCCAGGCAGCGATAGAGAGGCTGGTGCAGCGTGGCGCAGCGAAAAGACCGGAAAGTTACCGCAAAGCCCGAGCTTTAGCGTCTGCCTCAGGGACCGCAGTGAAAACTTTGCCTAAATCTTTGCGAGTGTACCTACTCGATATCGCCATGGCTTTCAAGCCAGTAGTTTGCTTGAGCTTCGACATAGACTACCAGATAACCGGCGGCATACATTGGTCATCTCACAAAGAAACACGATCTTACGACAGGGCAAGCTTGGACGGAGTGACTCGCTGTCATCGTCGCACAATGAGTATCTATTTCGGGACGTTTTGATTCGTCTCGAGCGATCTGTGTGCGGGCTCGCGAGGCTGCAAGGCAGCCAAGGCTGGTTGACTCTTGAGCTTCACGGCCTTGAAAGCGTCCACATTCAAAGCTCGGAAGTGCGCTTGGCTGTGACAAGTGATCATGCTGGAGCCGGCGCGGTCACTGCGGATAGTGCGACGTGCAATAGTGAAGCTATCGTCACTTGGAGGGGAGGAACCTCGGGCAACGCGGGCCGATCACCTGCGCCTGCCCCCGGCGACGAAACTTGGACTCTTCCTTTATTTACTCACAACCATGTTCAGGACCACGCGATGAGTGTGGTCGATCTGAGGCTGGCTACATTTAAGTCTCGCTGCATCCTGACCAATTCTACGTAACAGCAAAGCATCTATTTTGATGATTATATGTGCATAGCCGTGCCGTCTTGGCGTAGCATACCGTGTCCGTGCACCGAACGCCTGGCGCGTAACATCTACACCAGATTTTAACGCGTAATAACTTAACACTATGCCAGGATTAAGCAATGCCCTTGCAGAGATAGTTGCAATGCAACTAGAAGAAGAAGTTGTCTATACAAAGATTACAGAAAAACACAGTTTATTGCGTACAACTAGACTGGCGGATGGGTACCCCTTACCTAGGGTAGGGTATAGGTAGGGTATAGGTCGCACGGACCAGGGTATAGGTAGGGTAGGGCTACTTAGGCTATAGGTATAGGTAGGGTAGGGTTGCAATGGTTATAGGTATGTCAGATGCTCGTACTGTGAGCCAGAGTAGGCTGGCGGAATGGGTATACTCCAACGTCCTTCGTGGGTACCCCCCAAAACTTTGTCAATAATACATGGATTCTAGCGAAATAGGGCTTAAAAGAAAGAGAAAAACTACCTCTACATTTCTGTAGTAGAGGGTTTTGTTATAACTATTAAACTGCACAAGCTAGAGGCTAGAAAAGGTCAAAAAAGGGGGGGTACCTAGCGAGCATAACGTAGATTATCACCGAGCCGGCCATATCACCGAACCGGCCATTTTCTCTTGGCACAACTAACACAAGTTACTGCAACTACAACTACTTGCTATTAAACAGTGACCCAGCATACTGCGTGCTTGCATTAGATTAGGCTGGCGGATGGGTAGGGTAGGGTAGGGTATAGGTATAGTCACGTGATTTATGGGTAGGAACTAGGTAGGGTACATGAGGTACCCTACCCAAACGGTTTGGGTAGGGTAGCACGTGACTGGGTATAGGTATAGGTAGGGTAGCACGTGACTAGGTATAGGCATAGGTAGGGTAGCTAGGTAGGGTCTAAGAATGGGTAGTTATTAGCAAAATCTAGGTTACTACTCTAGACTTTGTACTATTGTATACTTTAGAGCATAAGTATGTGATAATAGACTGTGATAATAAATTATAGATGCTTTTTCTTCTAAGTATTGTGTATGCGAAAGAATCTACTAGTACAACCTAGGGTTAGTTGTATACAAACTAGGTT